AAGTTCATCTATTGATTGAGAGAGAAAGAGAGAGAGAGAGAGAGTGCACATGAGCCAGGGAGGGGCAGAGAGAGAGAACGAGACAGAGAATCCCAAGCAGGCACCACACTGTCAGTGCAGAGCCTGACGCCGGGCTCCAACTCACAAACCAGAAGATCATGACCGGAGCCGAAATCAAGAGTCGGACGCTTAACCGACTGAGCCACCAGGTGCCCTTCCCTAGAAGTTTGATTGTATAAACGCGTTTCTCAGTGTGTTGACTTGAATTCCTCTTGACGTTGAACTTTTCGTTATTAAAGACAAGTATTTCTCTTGGTTTTGCCCGAACTTTTGACTCCCTGGCCTGTGGTATGATGTCTGAGCTTTCCTGATGTGTTTGCCAACCCCACGATTTTTGAGACGAATAGCACAGTGAATGGAGGGTCTGCGTTACACGAAATCACCCCCTTCAAATATGGTTATTACACACCGTGGGGTGCCCTTGCTGTCATTTTACTGGTGGATTCTATCAGAGAAGTTCTATCCACATCACGGGCCGTCATTTTCTTGACTTTGCTTTCCGACTCCTAGCCCAGAGTTCCATGAATTTAAAGAAATACACTCTGAGTTAAAGAGAAAATAAAGAGATGGTCCTAGACTTGAAACTCACGCTTTTAAGCCTCATACTCCAGTGCCCTCCAAATGGGTGGGAAGCCCGTGTCTCTGTCATGTGAACCCCAAATACTGCAGATCGGATCCCTGGAAAGAAGCAGTATCCGAGAGGCAGTTCTGGTGAGGCTTCAACACCATACACTTGATGCCATGGTTGTATAACGTTTTCCGTTGCATTCTAGTTTCGGAGTGACGCAATCATATTTCCCAAGTTGTATGTGAAACTCCAACTCCCATTCGTTGGGGGTTGTCATGGATAAATCCATCACTTGCAACTTTCGGGGCATGGTAAACCATCGACAGACTTACTTTTCCTCAAGTTCAGTAGTGGCTCTCTTATCGATTCCAAGAGACTGAGGCTTCAGATGGCCCCTGTCTGCCAGTGCTGTTGGGTGATGGGGAGCAGGTGTGCAGAACAGTCCAGAGCTCAGGAGCTGGATTCTAGCTGCTCTTCAACAGCAGAAACCTTTCCACAGAGGCCACCTTCTAGGACCTTCTAGGACCTTCTAGGACCTTGGAGGCGTGAATGGGGCGAAGGCAGTGCTGCTCCCACCGATGTGTGTGTGTGTGTGGCGTCCCTCAGCCCCTCTTAGCTGGGAGGGAGGCCCCCAGGACGCCCTTTGAAAACACACTCTAGACTCGGCTGTTGAGTGAAGCCCTGAACACCTGGACATTGTCCCTATTTCATCTCTGCAGTAAGAGTCAGGCAGGCCACGTAGGACCAGGGCGCCGGGAGAGGAACACCAATCACTTCCTTATCCAGGAAGTGTTTCAGAAACTGTGACGCGAGGGGGAAGAAACTGCCAAAGTTTCTCATCCGTATGCATTATGCGATCGTTGGCTTTCCTTTCCTTTGATCTTTGATTGGTTATTTATCTCCGATTGGCGATGTTAGTGGGGACCGCTTCAGCAGTCCTGCCTGCCCCACAAAGCCCTCCTTCACGCCCTTATTCTCGCAGTTATCATACCTGCCCCCTGTCTGCTAGTTTTCTTCTGAGAGATTGAAACAGGCCCCAAGTCAGCCATCGCCCCCCCCCCCCCCCCCCCCCCCCCCCCCCGCCTCCCGTTTGCTCCTCTGGAGGGGAGGTCCACACCGGTTGTCTTCACCGGTGTCTACATGCTCTCTCAACCCCCATCGCTGAAACTGCCATTGTTATGGCCACTGCTTATCTTCCCCTTGCCCAGCCTCTCGTGGCTTATCCTGTTTATTAAGTGTATTTTGAAGACGGCACAAGCAATGTATTTACTTTTGGTAAATATAAAAAGTAAAAAAAAATGAAACGAATGACTCTCTATCCTACCCTGCCCCCACGTTAGCATATAGTGATTAGCATTTCGGTGTATTTACTCCCGGGTGCCTTCTGCACATCATCTGTAAGGCACTTACATTCCCTACGGAGGCAGATGCCTTTCCTGCAGGCGCTGAGCCGCCTTCATAAGGAGGCCAGGAGGGTGAAGGACCCACTCAAGGTCTGCGGCCTGGTGGTTCATCCGAGAGCCGGTCCGTAGTTGTGGCCCTGAACCAATTAGGATCTCCCTTGCTTTTCCTTCCTTTCTTTTCTTTCTTTTCTTCTTTCTTCTTTCTTTCTTTCTTTTCTTTTTCTCTTTCTTCCTTTCTTTCTTTCTTCTTTCTTTCTTTCTTTCTTTCTTTCTTTCTTTCTTTCTTTCTTTCTTCTTTCTTTCTTTTTTTCTTTCCCCCTATTTGGAACAAATCATAATCATTTCTCCATGTCATTAAATTATACCCCCTTAATGGCACCACCCTTTTACTTTTTTTGGGTGGAATGTTCTATGAATGGAAATTTAGGTTGTTTCTGATTGCCCCTGTTAGAAAGAACTCTGCGATCAACAGCTTTTCAGTACAACTTTTTGTGTTTCTGACTCTTCCTTTTATCTGGGGTCTCCAAAGCTGGTTCCCTGGGGTGACAGTATTTAAATGCCTTGCTACTTTACTGCCAAGTTGCTTTGAAGGCCATAAAAGGGTTTTCACCCCACCCAGTCGTCTGGCATTGTCTGTCTCATCACCATCCTCCCACCATCAAATATTATCATCTGAAAACACCTCCTTGTGGAGTTTCATTGTTATGGGCCTTTTATGGCTTTTATGAGAAAGGAAGATTAGTCTGTTTTCGCGTTTTTTAGCAATTTGTGCTCCCTCTTTGATGGATTTGGATTTCAGCCCTTAGCCCATTTTTTTCTACCGGATTTTCTATCGTCCGGCCTGGTGATACGAGCCTATTTTCCACAGCACCAGTGCATCGGCTGGTTTCTCCCTGGTGTGACCTTTCTTCCTTCCTCCCCTCCTGGCTGTCAGCCTATCCAGTTCACTCGCCCTTTCCCGGGGTTCCTGAGCGTGGGGGCCTTGGATACCCTCCTTTCACTCTGCAGGCTCTCCCCCCGGGTGTCTCTTCTGCCCTTTCCCTGTGGCCCTCTGCCCTATAGCCCCTTCTGCCAATGCCTGGCTCCTCTCTCCCCCACGCCCTAACCCCTGACCCCGTTCAGGACGATCACCCAGAGCACCTGTGACATAAGATGTCGTGAAGAAGGCCTAAAACTCATAATCAATCGACTTGAGCATCAGCTCGCCTCAGAAGAGCAGGTGGAAACAAATATCTCATGTAGGCATTGGACGTGCCAGGACAGGGCCGCCCCCTGCACATCTTACGTGACTTGCCTGTGTCTTGTTTGACCGAAATGTGATTAAAAAGCAAAAAAACACCTTTTCCCATTGCAGAAAAAAAAAAAAAAAAGCAGTTTTTCATTGTGGAGCAAACGAAATCATTTCTTGCCCATTGGTGCCCTACTTAGAAGCAATTTGCTGTATGGGGATCACAGTAAATACCTTGCAGGATTGATCTGTGGTTTTACGATAATGTATGTAAAGTACCAATTAATACTCCGAGCCTCTCTTTCAAATGTCTGGGGAGAGAAGTAAAAGAAGAACTTATTGTCTTAAACAGCCTGTACCAGCTGTTCTGAGTGGGTTTCAAAGAAGCTTCCAGTCTCTGCGGGGTGGGAGCCTTTTGAGGCTGCCTGGGAGGGGCCGTTGGGCCGGAGACAGCAGGAACACCGGCTGGGCGGTGGTGGGTCCAGACCTTTCCACACCCAGGGAAGGCTGTGCAAAAGCAGGAGGAGGATTTAGGGGTCAGTAGGGGGTGTTATTTATTCGTTTAAATTATTCGCTCAATACATATTTGTACAGATCACCTCTGTGTGCCTTGTCGGGTCCTGGGCATATAATGCTGAACAAGACGGATCTGGTCCAGGAGCCAAACAGATCATTAAACGAATCAGGGGTTCCGGCAGCTGGGTGGGGAGTAGGGGTGCTACGGGAGTCACCGGGGCGTGCCTCTGCCTGGGGGTCACATGGCACCTCCCCACAGAAGCGGTGCAGACGTGAGGCCCCGAGGTTGAGCAGACAGACAGACAGACAGACAGAGAGGGTCTGCAGAAGAAGGTTCCAGACAGAGGGTGGGGCCCCGGGGGCAGCTGTGGGCTCCTGGAGAGGCTAGCGACCGACCGGGGAGGAGGTGGGACTTGCCCCTGGATGTGGTGTGGCCATCATGCGTGGCAGCTTCGTGCTGGAGGAGGACACTCAGGGAGATGGGAAAGGATGATGCTTTCGTTCTAGAAATGTGTTTACTGTGTCTGCCAGACAACACAGGGAAGTGGAGGGAGTAGCCGTGGGTGTTTTTGTCTGCAACCTGGGCTCCGGGTCCGAGGCAGTCCCCGCAGGTGGGGATGGGGGCGTCTGGGCATCAGGAGAGCAGGGGCGGCCCCGGAATCCTCCGCAAGGCGGCTGAGGCTTCTCGGTCCCCTGGGCTGATGGCCTGCTCCCAGGCCCGAGAGGGAATTGCCAGGTATCCCTGGGGCCCAAGTGCCGGCCCAGAGCCACCTTAGACACACAGGCCCTCGGCCCCTGCTACCATGGGGAGGATCAAGGCCAGGATCCTTCTCAAAGTCTGGCCCCCTCCTCCGGCTGACACAAGCCATTGTTACGGTTTGTTCTTTATGGTTTTACTACAAAGCCCGTAACTTGGAAGCAGCCACTGAGAAACTCCCAAGTGTGGTGGTCTGTGATGCGGGGCCCCGCCTCACAGAGCAGCATCCAGGGGGGCCCTGCCCCAGGCCGGAGGGAGGGGCCGTGAGGACAGGAAGTCAAGCAGGTCCCGGAGGGGTGTGGGGGATGAGGCCAGAAGAGCAGGGTGGGGGTGCGGTGACCGGTGGGGGACCTGGGGCAGAGCAAAGGGCCCTCTGCAAAAGGGCCCGTGACAAGGCTTCTCGTGAAGTCCTTTTGCTGTTTGCGACTCAAGCTAAACCCCCTCCCCGCCCTGTTCTCCACAGAAAAGATGTCCTTCGAGGGTGCCAGGCTCAGCATGAGGAACAGAAGGAACGGCCTGCTGGACAGTACCCGGACCCTGTACTCCAGCACGTCCCGCAGCACGGACGTGTCCTACAGCGAAAGTGTGAGTCCAGGCGGTGCTGGGCCGTCTGAAGGCGTCGCTTTGGTCATTATGTTATTTGGGGACCTGTACTCCTTTGAAAAGACCCTACCTCAACGTATAGTACGTTGTTCTGTGGGTTATGTTTTGTCAAACATGGAAGCATTTTCTCTTTTGTGCTGTTTTTGCATCATCTTATTTTATTGTATTAAAAAAAGTTTTTTTTCAACATTTATTTATTTTTGAGAGACAGAGAGAGACAGAGCATAAGCAGGGGAAGGGCAGAG